ATACATTTATTAGCTTACAGTTCTGGAGGTCTGAGGTCCAAATGGGTCTCACAGAGCTAAATCAAGATTCAGAAGGGAGACTCTAAGAGAAAATCCATGTCTTTACCTTTTCCTACTTCCAGAGGTTACTGTCATTCTTCAGCTCATGGTTGATCACCTCCTCAATCTCCCAAATCCGTAGCGACTGGTGGAGTCTTTCTCATAACCCTTATAACCCACTGCTGGCATTGTCTCCCTTTTCCACATTTAAGTACCCCTGTGATTACATTGAGCCCACACAGATAATCCAGGATAATCTCTTTATTTCAAAATCAGCTGATTGACAATTTGTATTCCATCTGCTACCTTAATTCTTTTTTATCACATAGTGTAACATGTTCAACACTTCCTGGGATTAAGACATTAAGTCTATTATTCTCGTAATCACAATTGTCTTCCCCTCTTGATCCCAATGACCAACATATTAAAACTCATTCTGATCCTGCAGGTCCCTTTTTACAGAAGATGAAAATATATGTAAAAGTGGTTCAAAAAAAGACTTATTATAGAACTTTATCCCAGGGGTTGACAATAATCTAAAATTACATTTCTTTTCTTTTCAGGGATGACAATGAACCACTGCTTATTTTGGGCTGCTGCTGCTAGCTTTCTGCCTGTTTTGATGATAAGAGTATGTGAGGTTTGCAGGTTTTATAATTACTTCCCAGAAAATATAAGAGCTAACCCCGTAGTAGAATTCATTTTGTTACAGGCTCTATTGTGGGGACACTATGCCCATTACTCATCTAGTTTTCATTGTAGCCTTATTAGGCAAGTACTATTCTTAACCTCATATTATAAAGAAAGATTAAATCATATAGCCAAGGTCAGATAACTAGAAAGTGGCAGAGCCTAAAAGTAAACCTAAGTAGTTTGGCTCCATAGGCCCATGCCTGTGGATAATTCAGAAAAGCTGAGAATGTAGAATAGGAATTACTTCTTTATAATTTATCCATGTATTTTCCATGACTAAATGGGGAAAAATATACTGTTTTTGTTTACCAAGAAAAGGTATTTTATCAGTATGCAAACTGAGCTATCTGATTTGTGACTATAATAAGATTTTAACACATCAAAAGTAATATAAAATGAAAGGTGCCAACAGCAAGGAGAGAATCGTGAAGAGCTATTAGAAATGGAATAAATACGTGAGGCCCGACTCTCACTGATTATTAAAAACAAGAATTTCAACATTCAGAAAACAGAAACAAAACACTCAATGGCATAATAAGAAACAAGTCCCTAATATTTTATGTTCACCCAACATGTACCTCTAAATAACCTCAATGATATAAAGAAAATATTACATTTTTAATATACCCAAAATATTGTTATTATGAGCTGAAGTCAACAGCTTTGGTAAAGAAAATGATTGGGTTTTATATTTTTATATGCTAGATAGAAGTCAGTAGTGGAAGGCATTTAATATTATAAATAAAAGAGAATCCATGTGCATTAGACTACTGGGGTGTTGGTTTGTATCACATCACTCACACCTCTGCCTCAGAGAGAAACCAGGCAGAGCTCTTGTCCAATACCCAACAATTCCCCAGTAAGCTGGAATCAAAGTCTTGAAGAAGTGTTCTCTTTCCTTCACTCTGATTCTCTGCCCACTTTACTCCCCCACTGTTGGTGGGAGGATATTCATATTTCACAGTAAGGAAAAGCTAAGCTAAAGCATAGCCACCATGCCAGAAGAAGAAGGAAAAGGCGGGCAGTGAGAAAACTACATTGGCCTTTAAGACTTAGCCTGGTCAAAGCCACTTAATCCAAGTTCTGGGAGATAGCCTAGCCCACGTTGCCATGGGAAAGAAGGAATCAGTATCACAGTTAACAGCCCAGATAGAAAAGTAAATAGAGAGACCCCTTCCCATTCAAGGAAACAAGAGACTGATCCAATACGGGCCAGGAATACAAAGGAAAAATATGAAGGGGTTGAGGCATTGATAAAATAACATGTATACATTCTACAGACAGATAACTATTGGAACATTTATACGCAATTTTATAATTGTTTGTTCAGAAAATGAAGGTTTAAGAATTTTAAATGAAATAAGAAGATAAGATAAATTAAGTCCCCCAACACAAAATTATCACATAAACTTTAAACATGATATCCAGTTAAAATAAATAATAAGCTGCTCCAATTTGTCCAAAAATAAACAAACAAAAAAACAAACAGTGTGATACCTTCTCTTTTTTAGACTCCAGGTAGAAAATAAATAGACTGACCACCAGACTTGAATGTTATTTTAAACTTTCCTTCAATGTTAGAGTTTACTGGGATACTAGGCATCTAATTAGACAGATATAAATTTTTTTACTGAGGTATAATGTTTTCCATGAGAATCTGGTAGATGTTACAGAATGTGGTCTTTGAAAGAAAAGTACAGGGAGCTACAATAAGGTAATCGAGCTGATTTGATTTTGTCTGACATAATTAGTTAATTAGGATGAGATAGTCCTCAGATCTGAAAGGTAAATTGGTTTCATTTGGTAAAACAAGCTGAAAGAGCATGCTAACAAAAGCACAGGCTTACGCAAATACTGAGGCGGGATGGAAACTGATGCATTGGAATAACTAAAAGAAATCACTGAGACTAAAGCAGAGAAAAGTAGGGGAGTGTGTCCTAAGTAGAGATTGAGAAGTCAGCAGGGTTTTCACAGGCTTTGTTAAAGACTGAGTTCTTCTTTCTAAGACTTGGAAACTGTGGAAGACTTTTAACAGCAAAGTGACTTCCTTGTGTATATATTTTGAAATGTTTACTCTGGAGAATGGGCTATGAAACCCTGCATAGGAGAGTGAGAGGGAGGGTGTAAAGGTGACGAGGCATGTGCTAATTCTGGGAGGCCAGTAGAAGGTCAGGCTGTAGCCACAGTCAGTTCAGGTGAAGGAAGAGAAATCTGGTGGTAGAAGAAAAATGTCCCTTACACGAAGAAAAAGACTATTTCTGCACTGACAGCTTAGTGAAAGGGATCAATTGCCCGTAGATTAAGTAGGATGAAGATAGTAAAAAATATATTGAATTTAAAATTGAGCTTGTAGGTGACCTTAATAGGATTTGTTTCAAAACAGAGTACCTCAGCTTCAGCACTACTGACATTTTGTATGGGATAATTCTTTATTGAGGGGGGCCTGTCCTGGGCCTTTTTGGATGTTTAGCAGAATCATTAGCCTCTATCCACAAGATGGCAGAGTACTCTCCCTGACCCAGTTCTGACAACCAAAAATTTCTTTAGACATTGTCTAATGCCTGGTAGGGAGATAGAGAAGTTGGGGAAAGGGTAAATCAACCCTGGTATAAACCCATTGTTTGAGTGGAATAAATGATGAGAGAGTGAATGTAAGACTATATTAGAGAGTGAGAAATTATAGACAACCAGTGATGGCAACGTTTTCCAGAATTTGGTAGGGAAGGAAAATAGAGAGAAAGAACAATAATGGAATGGGAAAGTGAGATAAATCAAGAGTTTTGTTTACGTATTTTAAGATATAAGCAACATCATCATAAATAAATGCTAGTGAGAAAAAAATACAAAAAATGGTTGAATATAAAATGAAAAAATAATATAAGATTTGGGAAAAAGTTTTAGAGAATGGACTAAACAACACTGCTGGCAAAGTGTGCTTTTGAAAGAATGGCCTGTTTTTAATTCTTTGAGGAACACCATCCTATTTTTTCATAATGACTATACTGATTTGCATTTCCACTAATTGTGGACCAGGGTTCTCTTTTCTCCACATTTTTGCCAACACTTGAAATCTTTTGTCTTTAATAATAGCCATTCTAACAGATGTGTGTGATATCTCATTGTGGTTTTGATTTACATTTCCCTGATGATCAGTGAGGTTAAGCACCTTTTCATATTCTTGTTGGTCAATTTGTATGTCTTCTTTGGAATAATGTCTGTTCATGTTCTTTGTGTAATTTTTAATCAGGTTTTTTTTGTTTGTTTTTGCTATTGGGTTGTATAAATTCTTTATATTTTTTAATATTCACTCCTTATTATATATATATATGGCCTGAAATATTTTCTCTCATACTGTAATCTACCTTTTCATTTTGTTGATGGTTTCCTTTGCTGTACAGAAGTTTTTAGTTAATGTAGTCCCACTTGTCTATTTTTGCTTTTATTGTCTGGGCTTGCTAAGACCAATATGAGCTTTACCTATGTTTTCATTTAAAATTTTTATGATTTCAGGTCTTCTATTGAAGTCTGTAATCTATTTTGTGTATGATGTAAAATAAGGGACTGTTTTAAATTTTTTGCATGTGGATATCCAGTTTTAAATTTGCCACAAAGATGGACCTTATGTTAAGTGTTTTTTTGTTTGTTTGTTTGTTTTTTGCCACATTCATGAAATAACAGCAATAGTTATAATAAAGGGGATGGGAACAAACTTTGGAAGGTGATGAATATGTTTACAGTCTTGATGGTGGTAATGGTTTCATGAGTGTATACTTATCCTCAAAATCACTTGGTTATATACATTAAATATGTACAGTTTTTTACATGTCAATTATACCTCAATAAAATAGTTTTTTTAAAAAAAAAAGAAAGTATGACCCTCTTTACAAAATCACAAAGGAGAAGAAGGAAAGGATGAGAACAAATATAGGTAGATCGTGGACTGGGCAAGAAAAGTTGAAACAGCTTTCTTCTGATAGCTTCTCTTACTGAGGGAAGTAGGATATATCACAATCTATTGAGAGAGGTAGATGTGATTGGGATACAGTACACAAGTTCTGCCATAACATTGTGAGAGAGGCAAAGTGAGTTAAGTAGGTAAATAAGTAGAATCGATGAGAAGAATTAAAGGACAATTTGATATTAGATAGCCTGAATATGAATACCAACATTTGTCATTTTGTGATATTTTTTCTGCCAATGCTCAGTAGACTTAGTGCAGGCAGGGAAATTTTGGGTTTCATTCAAATTTTTGGTTCCATCTAAACCTAATGGGTGTGGGCAGGCAAAGGATTCAGCAAGTGAGTTGTTGAAATGAGAGAACATGGATAGAAAAGAAAGATAACAGAAGGCAAATTGAGAAAATGAGGAATGAGTGTGATGCTTAGATTGTGTGAAAAATAGAGTGACTGACCTTAGTGACTTGGAAGAACAGGGAATCCTGGTCAGACAGGAAAATGCTCCTATCTGATTTGGGAGATGTGACATTATGAAGCCATCATAAAAATATGGATTGTGACCATCGAGGCAGGAAACTAAAGATTTAAGATAGGAAGAGTTCAAAAGGCTGAGTTGTCAAACAGTTGGAATTATCTATGTGGATGCTATAGTCTCTCAAGTTGGCTGCAGACACTGGAGTAGGCAGGATGAATTTGTTTCAGGAGATCCAATTTTTGTGAATGAGTGGAAATGAGAAGAAAATTGTTATACGAGAGTGAATTTTCAAGGATGAGGTGGTAGAGCTAAATGTCATGAGTTTCACTGGAGAAGGATTTTTCAGAGGAATAAGGAGAGTTATAATCTGGAAATAGTAAGGGATTCTTGTGAGTCACCAATCACTCTTCTAGTCTAGACCAGAGTTATTTGCAGTATGACAAGAAAATAGCTCAATGTGAGTGTGCTTCTGAGGAAATGATGTCTTTTGAATTCCATATTTATGCCTTTTCCCCACACCCTAAAACCACTGATATAAAATAAATGACAATGACTACTTTTATATTTAAGCAAGGTATGACACTGGATCCTATCCACTCAGAAACTATATTGATAGTCCTGTGGGAATTGAGAAAAAAATAAATACCATTCTAATCATACTACATAAGTTTCGCCACCTTTTTAAAGATATGATGTACATATGATATATTGCAAACACAAAAAGAAGCTACTCTTTGCTGCAATTAATGTTAACCTAAAATATTAAGGCCATTTACTTTTCTTCTTAATGAGTTACAGAATAAAAGGTAAATAACTTTAAAAAACAGTCATAAATTCTAGATTGTAGCCAATTTGAAACCTATTTTATATATACATATACAGATGCAAATATTGTTTTCTCATATGAATAAGACAAAGATGCAAAATCTGAGTTAAAGATAATAAATAATGAATATATTGGATTAGGTTTTCCCAGACACATACCTTCAAACAAAAATTCAAGTGTAAGTGGTTTACCTGGGAAGCAAAGAGAACGCTTGGAGGAGATATGGTGGGGAATGAGCCAAGAAAAGGAAGTCTGTCGGTAAAAGGTATGATATCAAAACATCTTCTACTGTGGTTTATGTTGTCCAATAAAAAGTGCTTCAACATGGTCCAAAGTACTAATCGTAAATTTGAAAAAACCCAATTACAGAATATCCAGTACTCTATTTTATAGACTTGTATAATATCAGACTAGAATTCAGAAATCTTCAAAACTAGCACTGGAGTAATGGAAACTAACATATTGAGATAACATAAATTTTAAAATGCTGTCAATCATTCTTTATTCTATATAAACTATAAATTAATATGGTGTATAGATCTATAAGTAGTGTATTATACATGATAAATTCCACTTAAAAGAAGACTAATTAATAATTTTCTGGTAACAGACAAAACTAACTATAGTTCCACATAGTACATTCCTCACTGAATCACCAAATGTGCAAGAAGAAATTGTTACTCTACATAACAGTCTCAGGAGAAAAGTAATACCAATGGCTAGCCACGTGCTGAAAATGGTAAGATTAATTAAATAGCCATAACAATGAAGACAATAATAGTTATGGTGTTTACTGAGCTTTTATTAAGTTCTAATCACTGTCAAAACACTAAAAGTTTGGTCTTCACAAACAAACCTACAGGATTGTAAAAGAAGAAACAGAGGCCCAGAGGAGGTGGAGAACTTTCCTCTAATCATATAGTTAATAAATGACAGAACAACACTTCCAACTCAGACAGCCTGGCTTCATTCACAGAACCCCAGGATAGTGCTACTCAAACTCGAGTGTTCTTCAGACTCACCTGAAGTACTTGTTGCAGGACAAGTTCCTGGGCCCCATTCTCAGGTCCGGATTGAGGCTATGCCAAGCTCCCAGATGTTGCTGATGCTACTAATCATTATCATTAGTATACGAACTTTGTGTCTTCATTAAGCAGCAGCCCAGGGGCTAAGCCACTCATCTGAGAATGAAGATGTCCAGCCTCTAAGCCAGGTGATGCTGCCAGGTAAACAAATATTGACAGATCTTTTTTCCAGTTCCCTTGCATCCCATACAAGGAGAGAGTAATTGTCTTTCCACTATAAACCTGTGTGTGAGCAGACTAGGTGTTGTAAAAGAAAAATTAAAGGAAGTTTCAGATGATTAGCCTCACATTTATTATCTCTCAGAAGTGTCACTCAGGTTTTTGGGAAATCTTATCCCGGTTTCTTGAACCTTGGATTGTCCTAAAGTAGCAAGCATTAGAAATAGTGAGGATTCTGGAGGGCAATTCTAAAGGATAGCTTTCTTAGGCAAATGACAAAGAGGAGGAAGCAAGTGACTAGAAAAATGATTCCAAAATTTATCTCTTGATCATCTTAGAATCTATCATGTTATTTGAACAAACTAATAAAAATCAATAGCTATTATAGACATTGTTGCATTGTGAGTGTTCTTTCTGACATACTTTTTGTATGTACTATTGACAGGCACTCTTTTAGAACCATATTACATTAATTCATTTAATTTAATAATTTTGTGATTCTATACTATCATTTCCATTTTACAGATAATGAATCTGAACATAAGGGAAATTAGGTAGCTTATCCAGTCATAAGTACTGGATAAGTATAGATTCAAATGCAAATGGACCAGCTCCAGGCTCCTGTTCTTAATTATTTACCTCTCTTAGGACAAACAGGGTCCAAACTCCTTCGTTTCCAGATGAGCAAATAAGGGTAGCTAAAATGTACGAAAAAATGTTATAGAGTAAGTGGAAACTATTGCCTCTGAATTCAGAGAACTTACTATTGTGGATTAAAGATTTATACAAAGGAAATATTAGAACATAAGGATGAATGTATTCAAGTGCTAAGTTGCAAAGATATGAGAGAGCAACAAAATGATAACTTGAGTGTACTAGTAAAATCGAGTAATATTTTAAAAAGAATATGGGAATTGAGTTGTTCCATAAACAATGCATACAACACAAATAGAAAGGAATTGATAGAATTATAGTAGGGCTAAAGAGCCCATTGCAACTGCAAGGCAGAGATTTTTCAAAAAAAAATAATAATAATTTCTGCACATTAGGTTAGAATCTGCTTAAATAGAGCCATTCATTAAAGCCAGAATTTACAGCTACAGTAATCATAAATACTAGTGATTTTAATCAGAGATGTTTCATAAAACTGGAGTATCTTATCAACATTAATCAAAGGAAATGTTAAGCAATCAGCTCTAAATTGGCCAAAGAAGTTCCAATTCTGATCATTTGATAACCTGGTCCTAATAAGCAAGATTTTTTACTAATGACTGAAATGACAGTATTTGTATTACCAGGAGATTTTATGCCTTAATGGGCTGTGTTGTGTCATCTCTACTTGTTTAGTTAGATATATCCGTTACTAAAATACATCTTTTATTGAATGAAACAATCAAACCCCACAAAACTATGACTTTACTTTGACCCTAGGCTAATGGGTTACTTAATTTATCTCTTGGTTTACTAAATTCATCAACTTGAGATATAATTCTAAGAAACTAACACAAATGGCACCTATATACACAGTAGATAAACTTCTTTGATGCTAGGAAAAATATTGAAAATCTAAGTTAGGGTGTCATCCAAAAATTGTTCTAAAGAGTAGCTGAATGATTTATGGAAAATTCTATAGTAAAATACAAACAC